CAGTTGACGAGAATTTCTCATTTCATCAATAAAACTACTTAAAATCCGTCCTACTCTCTGATATTATATATCCGTTTACTACACATAAAAAATATTAAAATAAAGACTACAATAAGATGTTCTTCATATATGAAAGGAACATATTATTACCGAACAAATAGCCTGTGAGAACATTATAGTTGCGATCTTTTTTCTCTTATTTAATTACTAACCACCTCTGGTTGTTCTAATTGCAGCTCCTATGGAGTTCAATTCTCTTTAATATATAAATAATAAATAATGTCTATATATATCCAAAATTGAAATGCGCATAACCACCTCTGATTGAAATTTCAACTAAGTTCCTTATCCCTATCAAATTTTCTAAATGCAACCCCCTTTATCAAAACAGCCCTCAAAATCAGAACACCCAACAGCCCGGCTTCGACGGCGATCTCGACGGCAGCGGTCACGGTGACGATCTCTTGTGTGGTCACAGGCACCACCGCTAGTAAGAAGACGACGATGGATTTTCACTTGTTCCCGCCGACACACGGCTGAGAGAAACGGCCACCAGAAATGTCGTGGCTCGAGGATGTCGGTCTCAGGATTGCGCACTACCGTCAGAGTCTATCACAGAGTCGTTCCCTGTGAGAATCAGTTGGTGATGATAAACTGTGGGTCTCTGCGGAATGGTTTTGTCGGACAACTAATTTATCAGATAGTTAGAGGTCATGTAGACGAAAAGCAAACGATACAACCTATACAAACTCCATAAGGGTAATATGAATTGAATCAAAAGTTTTGTGACATAAAATGGCTGTTGAACCAGATATACATAAGTTCCTGGAGCTTCATGGCTTCCAGCTAAAAGCTTCTCATCATTACAGTTGAAGCACCAAGGGTCAAAGCTTGGACAATGTGGCCAGAATTTGAGATGCCACCATCAACAAGCAAAATCAGTGTTCTGAAAACCGAACAGGACCGACCGGTCCGACCGATTGAACCGGGAACCAGTTAGTCCACCGGTCTGATTTCCCATAACAAACCTTTGTCATATACCGCCAAAGTGGTTGTCACAAACAAACAAAACAAAGAAATAAAAATTTGTAGTAGTTGAGCAATAAGCACAAGAAAACAAAAGAAAAGGAATCAAATTTCGGTGATGCGCATAATTATTGAACTGAAAGAGCTGGAGCAATTATTTTGCATCTGTTCACATGGTACTTTCTCTCCTATAAATAGTGGGGGTCTTCAGCAAAGGAGAACGCACCAAGCGAGAAGAAAAAGAAAGAGAGAACATGAGAGTACAGAAATAATATTTCTGTGTGTGTTATTTTTCAGTGAGATAAAAATAGAGTGTTTGAGTAAATCCTGTGGTTGTGGGAAAAATACACCAGGTTGGGTATCAATTCTATTACTCTTTGTTTAAGAGTGGGGTTCTCACTGGGTCACTATATTTTACATTTCTAGTGTAGGGGAGTGTGAAAAGATATTGTAATTATCTTGAAAATATAGTGAAATTGTTCGGAGGTTGTCCCGTGGTTTTTTCCTCTATTTGGAGGTTTTTCCACGTTAAATCTTGGTGTTTTATTTCTTGCATATTTTATTTATTTGGGATATTCTTAGTATGCTCTGTGGTCGCAGTTTAATCTGAACTTCCACATCAGAAAAGAATTATTCCGGTGTTATTGCAAGAGTTTTTCTTTTGTCATTATTGAGTTGCTGGGATTGGGATTATTGTTCACCATTTCACGTTAATATTTTGACTTACATCTTCCGCATTGCGCATCTGAGCCTAACAAGTGGTATCAGAGCTAACGTTGGGCTCTGTATCGGCCGGTGTAAATAAATGGAGGAGAACGTGGGTACCATGGTGAAGCTCACAGCAACAAATTACTCCATTTGGAAGCCAAAAATGGAGGATATACTTTTCTACAAAGATCTATACGATCCTGTAGAAAAGGGAGACAACAAGCCAGATGACATGAATGATGACGATTGGAAGAAATTACACAGGAAGGCTGTCAGTTTAATCCGACAGTGGGTGGATATCAGCATATTCCACCATGTTGCCACATAGTCGAAAGCCCATACTCTGTGGAACAAAATTGAACAGATGTACCAGAGGAAGACTGCACAAAATAAAGCGTTCGTCATTAGAAAGCTTGTAAATTTAAAATACCGGGATGGAAGATCAGTTGCAGAACACTTGAATGAGTTTCAAGACATGGTGAACCAACTTGTTACCATGGAAATGAAACTTGATGAAGAGCTGCAGGCGCTGTTACTTTTGAGTTCTTTACCGGATAGCTGGGAGACTCTGGTGGTCTCGTTGAGCAACTCTGCTCCTGAGGGAAATCTGACTTTGACCCAAGTCAAAGACAGTATGTTTAATGAAGAAACAAGAAGAAAAGACTCTGGGGCAAGCAGCTCCCAAGCCTTGGTCACAGAAACCAGGGGGAGAAGTAAAAATAGAGGTCGGGATAACAAATCCAGAGTTAAATCACAATCTCAACCCAGGAGAAAATTCAAGTGTTATCACTGCAGTGAAGAAGGGCATATCAAAAGAAACTGCAAAGCCTGGAAGAACAGAGATTGGAGGAACAACAGATCAGAGAACGGTGAAAATACCGCAACCCCTGTGATCAATGGGGAAGTGGTGTTGCTCTCTGTTGAAGAAGAAGAATGTCACGTTGCAGATTCATGTGTTGAATGGGTCATTGACTCAGCAGCATCATACCATGCAACCTCTCACAAGGCATTCTTTTCTCTATACAAAGAAGGAGACTTTGGTAGAGTAAAGATGGGCAACAACAGCATTGCAAATATTGTGGGAGTTGGTGATGTGTGCATTCAAACTGATATTGGGTGCACAATAACACTGAAGGACGTACGACATATACCAGACTTACGTCTGAATCTGATCTTTGTGCATGCATTGGATCTAGCAGGCTATACTAACAATTTTGGTAACGGCACGTGGAGGCTTACCAAAGGATCGTTGTTAGCTGCTAGAGGTACAGTGAGATCGACACTGTACAGAACTCAAGTGAAGCTGATCAAGGGTGGATTGAATGCAGTCGAAGATGATGCTTCTCCAAATTTGTGGCACAAAAGACTGGCTCATATTGGTGAAAAAGGATTACAGATTTTGGCAAGAAAGTACCTCATCCCATTTGCCAAAGATTCAAAACTGAATCCTTGTGATTATTGTCTCTTTGGGAAGCATCATAGAGTGTCTTTCAGCAAAACCTCGAAGCTGAAAGAGAATGTGTTGGAGATGGTGTATTCTGATGTATGTGGACCCATGGAAGTGGAGAGTCTCGGTGGTAGCAGATATTTCGTGAAGTTTATTGATGATGCTTCACGAAAGTTGTGGGTGTACTTCTTGACGAAAGGCGAAGTTTTCCAATACTTCAAAAGGTTCCATGCTATGGTGGAGAGACAGGCTGGTAAACCTTTGAAGTGTCTTCGCTCAGATAATGGGGGGGGAGTATACTTCTCATGAATTTAAGAATTATTGTGCCGAGCATGGCATCAGGCATGAGAAGACTGTACCTGGAACCCCACAGCATAATGGTGTGGCTGAAAGAATCAACAGAACCATTATGGAGAAAGTGAGGTGTATGTTAAGAATGACTAAGCTACCTAAGCCATTCTGGGGTGAAGCTGTTCTAACGGCGTGCTACCTGATCAATCGATCTCCATCTGTTCCTTTGGGCTTTGATATCCCTGAGAGAGTATGGTCCGGACATGATGTTAAATACTCTCATCTAAAGGTGTTTGGATGCAAAGCTTTTGCTCACGTAAGCAAGGAACAGAGACGAAAACTTGATGATAAAGCCATTCCTTGTATATTTCTGGGCTATGGAGATGAGGAATTTGGCTACAGGTTATGGGATCCAGAAAATCGAAAAATTATCAGAAGCAGAGATGTAGTGTTCCATGAGCAAGAAACTATGTCTGATTCTGCTTCACCAGAAATCAGAGAACCAAGTGGAAAGGTGGATCTTTCACCTGTCAAACCTCCTGGAGATGCCACAACAGGGGGAGAGTGTGATGGAGAACTCAGGGTTGATGTTGAGCCAACAATAGAAGATGGCGGTGGTGAAGGTGTCGAGCAGGAAGACCTCGAAGCTCCACCTCAGCTCAGGAGATCAAATCGAGCGATCCAACCGTCTACGAGATACCCTAGTTCCACGTATATTACCATCACTGAAGAAGGGGAGCCAGAAAGCTTTGAAGAAGTACAGACTCATAAGGATAAATGCTAGTGGATGAAAGCCATGCAAGAAGAAATGGATTCACTGATGAAAAATGAAACTTATGAGCTTGTGAAGCTTCCTGAAGGCAGAAAAGCCTTGAAGAATAAATGGGTGTTCAAGCTTAAGAAAGATGGTGGCAAGCTGTTGAAATACAAGGCTCGCTTAGTCATGAAAGGATTTGGACAAAAGCGAGGAATAGACTTTGATGAGATATTCTCTCCGGTTGTAAAGATGAGATCTATTCGAGTAGTACTCGGATTGGTGGCTAGCTTGGATCTGGAGCTTGAACAACTAGATGTGAAGACTGCATTTCTTCATGGAGACCTAGATGAAGAAATCTTCATGGAGCAACCAGAAGGTTTTGAGAGGACCGGAAAGGAGCACATGGTTTGCAGATTGAAGAAGAGCTTGTATGGATTGAAACAAGCTCCTAGACAGTGGTATAAGAAATTTGACTCGTTCATGGCGAGTCATGGATATACCAAGACTGATGCTGATCATTGTGTGTTTGTTAAGAAGTTTCCAGGTGATAAGTTCATTATCCTTTTGTTATATGTAGATGATATGTTGATAGTGGGACAAGATATGAAGTTGATTGGTGATCTGAAGAAGGATTTAGCAAAGTCCTTTGAAATGAAGGATCTGGGCCCTGCGAAACAAATTTTGGGCATGCAGATCATGCGAGACCGAAAATCTAAGAGGTAGTGGTTATCGCAAGAACGGTATGTGAATCGGATTCTGGATAGATTCAACATGAAATCGGCTAAGCCGGTCAATACACCGTTGGCCAATCATTTCAAGCTCAGCAAACAAAGTTGTCCTACGAATCAAGAAGAGAAAGAATCTATGGCGGGTGTTCCATACTCCTCAGCAGTCGGGAGTTTGATGTATGCCATGGTCTGTACCAGACCAGATATCGCTCACGCGGTTGGAGTTGTTAGCAGGTATCTTTCCAATCCTGGAAAGGATCATTGGGAAGCTGTGAAGTGGATCTTGAGTTACCTAAAAGGCAGTGCAAATAAGTCCTTGAGCTTCGGTAAAGGAAACCCAGTTCTTGAAGGTTATACATATGCGGATATGGCAGGTGACCTGGATAGTAGAAAATCTATTTCAGGGTTTGTGTTTACATTTGCAGGGGGAGCTGTATCTTGGCAATCTAAATTGCAGAAATCTGTTGCCTTGTCGACTACTGAAGCAGAGTATATTGCAATGACAAAAGCAGGAAAAGAAATGCTTTGGTTGAAGAGGTTTCTTCAACAGTTGGGAATGAAGCAGGAAAGGTACGATATCCATTGTGATAGTCAGAGCGCATTGGATTTGAGTAAGAATGCGATGTACCACTCTCGCACGAAGCACATTGATGCCAGATATTATTGGCTACGACAAGTAGTAGAAGAACAACAGTTCAAGTTGGAAAAGATTCACACTGACCAAAATCCTGCTGACATGATGACGAAAGTTGTAACAGGAGGAAAGCTTCAGCTTTGTGCCGAGTTGATCGGCATGGAATGCATGTGAGACTTGCAGAATATTGCACTTTGGCTGGAGGGGGAGAATTGTCATATACAGCCAAAGTGGTTGTCACAAACAAACAAAACAAAGAAATAAAAATTTGTAGTAGTTGAGCAATAAGCACAAGAAAACAAAAGAAAAGGAATCAAATTTCGGTGATGCGCATAATTATTGAACTGAAAGAGCAAAGAAAGAGCTGGAGCAATTATTTTGCATCTGTTCACATGGTACTTTCTCTCCTATAAATAGTGGGGGTCTTCAGCAAAGGAGAACGCACCAAGCGAGAAGAAAAAGAAAGAGAGAACATGAGAGTACAGAAATAATATTTCTGTGTGTGTTATTTTTCAGTGAGATAAAAATAGAGTGTTTGAGTAAATCCTGTGGTTGTGGGAAAAATACACCAGGTTGGGTATCAATTCTATTACTCTTTGTTTAAGAGTGGGGTTCTCACTGGGTCACTATATTTTACATTTCTAGTGTAGGGGAGTGTGAAAAGATATTGTAATTATCTTGAAAATATAGTGAAATTGTTCGGAGGTTGTCCGTGGTTTTTTCCTCTATTTGGAGGTTTTTCCACGTTAAATCTTGGTGTTTTATTTCTTGCATATTTTATTTATTTGGGATATTCTTAGTATGCTCTGTGGTCGCAGTTTAATCTGAACTTCCACATCATAAAAGAATTATTTCGGTGTTATTGCAAGAGTTTTTCTTTTGTCATTCTTGAGTTGCTGGAATTTGGATTATTGTTCACCATTTCACGTTAATATTTGACTTACATCTTCCGCATTGCGCATCTGAGCCCAACAACCTTTTGCTAGCAAAATCGGTCAAAAACCAGTTAAAACAGTTCAAAACCGTCCAAAAACCGGTAGGTTCAACCGGTCTGTTTGTCTTATTTTATACATTAGGCAAATTCCAACATATTTATTATGCACCTCCCCATTTACGTAGGCCGGATCTGTGACAAGCATTCCAATTGTTAAAGCCGCTGGAACAGATTCGCTTTTCACCTAGGAACTTGACTATTATGTTAACTATTATTTATAGAATATTATAAAATTTAAAAAATCAATAAATTAAATTACTTATGTCCATTGCATATGGAGCTGGAAGAGTCATTGTTGACAATTCTTCTGGCATAGTGCTAATAATGGACTAGATCAAAATGACTCAATTAAATTCTCGTGCTTCTTCTATTAGTGAAGTTTCTAGAAAAAAAAATATATCAAACGATGCAACGCACCTTGGGTCGCTATGGAAACAGCCTCCTTGTATAATTACAAGGGTAAGGTCTACGTACAACTGACACCCCAGACCCCAATCTGTTGAGAATATACTGGGTATGTTGATATTGATGTTGAATAAATTAAATTACTTATAAATTAAGTTAACTATTAAGTTATATGGCTATTAACTTAACTATTATTTATAGAATATTATATAATTTAAAAAATTAGTAAATTAAATTATTTAAAATTAAGTTAACTATATTTATGAAATATTAAATATTTAAAAATATCAATAAATTAAATAACAGTCCAACCAGTTCAACCACTGGTCGGACCAGTGAACCATTGAACCAGTAGTTTGACTGGTTCGATGTTCGGAACAATGAGCAAAATATAAGAATGGAAGTTAGTTCGGAATTAGGAGTAAAATGAAATATTGAGTGGAAAATGTATGTTTTTTTGTCTCTCTTGAATATTCGGAGAAACGAATATGCATCCAAAAAATGCGGGCGTATTAACTCTTTAAATAAGTTATAAGAAGATATCTTGTGGACCTCGGTCGACATGGCCCATGCTCGGATGCTGCCTGCATTCGTCTAATTTACACTTTTATCCCAAATGAGAATGTGCAGGAGAATTGGGAATCCCATGGCTAGGATGAAATGGGTTCCTCAGCTATACAATTGAAAATGCATAAGCATGAGACCTACTCAATGGTAGAGTAAAGACAAAACTGTCAAAGAGTTATTTAGTTTAGAAAGATAAAATATGCCCATCTACTTATTGTTCAAACCGACATTAATAAGAGATTACAGCCTCCTGATACAATTTTTAAAATGTTAATACAAAGCTATAAGAAATGGTAAAGCTAGGAAGAGACCTACTCTCTACAATATCATGCATGGAAAGGAAAAAAAAAAAAAAGAAAAGCACATTTATATTTCATTGACATCATTATCTGCATTACACATTTTTTCTTTTTTTTGGTACAGGGACATTCCGGTTTCCGGATCCACAGAGGAACCGACTAATCCAGAATCGAGCTGGGTAAGACCACAAGGGCGGCAAAGCTCTCCCTCAAGAGTTTTAACGCTGTTGTAGTCCCAGAAATCGGACACGAGACCACTGGTTAAGCTGGAAGAGACATAAACCATCTCATCCAAGCACTCTTGAGTTCTGCATTACACATTTTAGAGATAAAAATAGTCAACCTAGCTTCTTCTTATTGTTTCTTTCTTTTTTTTTTTTTTTAATTAAAGAATAGGAAAAATAAAGAGTGAGAACTATCTACAGCTATAGCAATGCCTTGCTAGATACAAGTTGTACACCTTTTACAAGAACTCTGACTTTACAACCAATTTCCAACATCATTCAAGCATGAAGATTTGAAATCATACAAATAAACTAAATCATTTCTTCTCTTAATCGTAAAACTTTAGCCTGATAAAATGGATTATCATGGAGTTAATTGACAATAATTTTAATCATATCTCATTTAAACAATAGAGGCTTTTTATGTCCTTCTACAATTTTTATTCAACTATGTTCCATCTAGCATTACATAAATCCAGCCAAACCCGCCTACGCACCAGGCCTCAATCTAATACCTAAATAGTGTCCATCTATTTTCATAATTTTGATACTAAACCACCACATTTGTTCTAAAATTAACCCACATCATTTGGCTTCTACTCTATTTCATAACAGGCAATATAAAATGTCAAGATAACAAAGGAAAAAAGAGCCACACTCACAAAAACATATGAACAAATGGGAACTAGAGATTGATCAATATTACATATGCAAATCAATTCTGCATATGCATTACACTTTGGACAAGGCTCAAATCACAAGTAATTTGTTTAACAAGACAACCTTCATTTTCCAATCCGGTCTTATTCATGTTTGGGATCTTGTACTTGTTGGAGCCTCAACTTTCATCATTTCTCGCATGCATAATTGTAGACTCAAAATAATATGATCCACCTTTCCTGGAGGGTACTCGCCAAATGACTTTTGAACTGCATGTATGAGTTCTTCTACTGTTCTCGGATGAGTCTTATATGTAAAGCTTGAATGACACTGAAAAATCCAACATCCAAAATGTTTAATTCTAGAGAGTTCGATGGTTGACACATTAATCAAATGTAAAAACCATTTTGTAAACCAACCACTTAAAACTCTCTTTCGGTTGGATCAACATGAGTTCGTGCATTATCTTGTTGAATGAAGAGGATCTTTATGAATCCTCTTATGGCCACACTTCTTGAATTTTTGGTATAATCTTTCCAATTAAAAACATTTTTACTATCTCTCGTGTGACAGAGATAACCGGTTTGAGCTCCAAAGTGCCAGCTTCTCTATTTCGACTCTTTTTTTGGGCTGGTTGCATGTTGACAAAAGAAAGACTCCTATACTTCCAGGGAGAACTTATTTTCCTTCATCTTCAAATCATGGACGAGCCATAGCAACAAGAAACATTACCTTCGCAATAAAGTTCTTGCTTTGACAACTACGCAAAGGCTCTTCTTCGTCTGGAAGTAAATAATACCTTTTACATTTTTTGGTCATATAGAACCATTTTTCATCAATATGCACAATATTATACATACCAACAAACTTCGGCTCATGAGAAATGCTATGTGCTTCGAGCATTGATATAAAAAACCGTAAACGAGCTAGTTTGTGATCTTCTTTGAGATATGGCTTGATGGTATTCGAATGGCGGCGAAGAAGACCTCTTTTCACATTTCTGCATAAGGCTCACAGATTTAGATGGATAGAGCTCGTACCGGGGAATTTAATCCTGCCCATCACTATACTAAGCCACCATCTCTCCAGTGACTCTTCTCCTACGTTTCTTGCCGTGCCAGAGACATCATGATTAAAAATTGGAATTTTTGGGTCAATTTTTCAAGTCTCTGATTATGTGTTCCTAAGAGAAGGAATTTGTGGGGAGCCACATGATAAGTGGACGAGGAGTAGCTACCTCGTGTAGTCTTGGTTTTGTGCCAGCACCTTGCCGAGAAGTGAGAATCACCCACGGGGCATGCCAAACTCACGTTTTCCGGTAAGACAAAAAGGCTCATTCTGGCAAGTGTTTCAGAGCAGAAGAAGGGGAAGTCTATCAGTGATTGCCTGAACCAAGTCCTCAAATCTGTAGGCTAAGGGGAAAGAACCTGAAACCTTCACTTCAGGATAAACAGAGTATCGCGGGGAAGCTGAGATGGCCGTGGGCTCTTTAACAAGCAGCCCTTACAAAGGCATGTCACTTACTATGGATGGGGCAAGGGAACAACTAACTCCGAGCATATGTGGATATTTTGTCTTTTTCTTCTGTTTCCACTCATGACTGGTTAGCTGAGCTTCTCAAATGGTTATCTAGCCGTCTCGTGGCCTCAAGTCTTGGCTTGATCTTTCACTTCCGAAAACCTGAGATGATCTTGACTACTCCCTGCTCATGGTATAACATAGCATTACCGTAGTCCTGTTATCGAATGGTCAATAAAACTATATGCAAGATCTCAGAGTTGTTCGTTTGCGTAATGGTATTTCACCCACTCGATGAGGATCGATGTACACTCTCTTTCGTCCACAATTGCTCGCTTTTCTGTGAGACACGTCTACTAATGCTCCATTTGATGTATCTTTTGCTCGTTTTCAAACACGTTGAACTGTTCGAATAGGCGTGGATAGTAAAGTAGAGACCTCTTTTGTTGTGTCTCATTTCAACTTTCCGTTGACACTTCTTGATAGTAAAACATTATAGATTGCCCA